CTGTCTCTGCCGTGGATGACAACATCTTTCCACTTCGTTTAAATACCACACAATCCCCATATGGTTCCTTTGGTTTCAGGCGGTATCACATCTGAGTCACACTTGGCTAATTCATAGTCATAAAATGGTATGAGAAATCACTCTTGCATAACAACAGCAAGCAGCCTCTTTGATTCTGCATTTACAGAATCCTGAATCACTGAGACAGGTTTTGGAGCTTAATAAAGACCAAGAAGACTTGGTCTGTTGAGGGTGTCAGTAAACTGTGCCACCTGCAAGTGCCCCTGGATCCCGAGAAATGGAGGAAAAGCATGGGGGTTGCTTAATTACTCTTGTTTTTCTGGCTGAGCCTGGGGTGTTGGGAGCAGGTGGGCTTCTCAGCTTCTTAGAAGTTGCCTGATGTTTCATGTGTGGGATGCCACCTGTGCCGTTCTGTTTTGAAATGATGGGTACCAGCATCTGTATACATAATTTAAAATAAATTTACATTCCTATTTTGCCTGAGATGATAAGCTTGTGTACTGGTGTGATTAAAGAGTGAGGATTTAGGGAAGGGTGAAGAGAGGCATTTTACAGCATTTTAAGGTTCGAAATTCTTAGTATGAAATTCTTTTTGTTAAATAAAACCAGATGGATGGATGATGGATGGATGGATGGATGGATGGATGGATGATGGATGGATGGATGATGGATGGATGGATGGATGGATGGATGGATGGATGGATGGATGGATAGGAAAGGAGGGAGAGAGGGGCACATGGAAAGCTAACAGTTTATTTGGGGGTGATGGGACTGTAGATGCTTTTTGGGGGGTCCATATTCATGTATCTTTTTAAAGTTTTTCTCTTAACTAATGAAAAGTGTGAAGTAGGAAATTGCCTGAAATAACCCTGGAGAGGTAGACAGGGCCAAGTCCTGGAATTTGTGTTGGTCGTTACTGTTCTTCATGATGTATTTCCATTTTTCCCTTTCCTGGGTGCACGGAGGGTTGTGCCCTCTTGAAGCTAAGCACAGCCACATGTCTCGCTCTGCCAATGAAAGGTGAACAGGAGCAACCTCTGTCACTGCTGAGGGGAAGCCTTTGAGATCCCCTGTGTGGTTTGTCACATTCCTTCCCCCACACCGTAGAGGCTGATGATGTTATAGAAAGTGGTCCCCTGGCTACTCACGGTGAGCATGGTCTCACCAACCTGGGATGGAGATGAAATGGAAGCGAGCAACAATCCTTGGCTGTTTTAATACGGAAGTTTGGGGGCTGTTCCTTATTGAAGCATATCCCGATTGATACAGGGACTCTTGTGTGAGCCATGCTGAGGAATTTGGACCATATCTTGTCAGCCATTCCAAGCTACATAAGGATTATAAGCTGGGACTTCGTATATGTGTTTGAGTTGTGAATCCGGAGAGCAGACTTTGGCCAAACAAGGCCCGAGCTTTTCATGTTCTAGACCAGGGGTCAGCAAACTTGAGACGGAAGAGCCAATCCTGTCCCTCACAACAATTTAAAAATTATTCGAGAGCCATAAAACAAATGAAATCGCCATTATGTGAGTAATATGCTTTAAAATTTTTATAAATGAAACTATGATAGTTTTATTTTCATTTTCAGTTTTACTTTAGAGCTACATATACGTACCCAAAGAGCCGCATGTGGCTCGTGAGCCGCAGTTTGCCGACCCCTAGTCTAGATCACCTGTGTTAATTCTAATGCTTCTTAATAAAAACCTCATTGGTTCCTTAGTGGTGATGGAAAATTTCTGTATCTTGAATGTGGTGAAGGCTGTATGAATTGGTACATGTGATAAAATGTCATAGAATTATACACAAGGGTATTACAAATAAAGAAAGGTGCATCCAAAAACTGGCGAAATCCAAGTCACATCTGAGGTCTCATAAATTGCCCTGTTCTAATGTCGATGTAATGGGTTTGATAATGTCCTATACATGGGTAAGATGTCACCATTGGGAGATGCCGGGAGATGGGCATATGTGCATTCTTGGGTACCACTTCTTCTGAGTCTGTAGTTAGTTCCAAATGAAAGTTAACATTAACAGCAAAGAGTTCATCAGTCACACCCAGAAAGTGAGATGTGGTCAATCCCGGAGTCAAGGCCAGACTTGGCAGGAAAGCTCACATTGGCAGATTGAGTTTCCTGCCTTCACCTAGCCATCAGCAGTACATCCTTCAAAAATGGGTCCTTCAGCCACTGCATTCTCACTTAGAGCATGCCCCCACAATAAACATTTCTATAATGTTGCTCAGTCTCTTAGATAATCAGAAGAGCACCCCACCCCTCCAACACATGCACACACATAAACACACATATGCACACATGCATGCATGCACACACACGCACACACCCTAATTCTGAAAGCTGTGTTTTTCCTTCTCTGGATTTACTATACCGCACTGTCTCACTGCATCTCTCAGGGTCAGCAGTGGAAACAGAAACCTGATACAGAGGCCAGGGGAATTACCTGAGTAATGGCGTGTGGACTTGAATCACTGTCCCCAGGAGCCTAGTAACCCGCAGCCTGTGGATTAGTCTGTTGAACTACTTGATGGCTTGTGACCCCTTGTTCCCCCTGGATGTGTATGTTCTGATTTTGTTCTTATTGGTAGTGGCAGCTCCGTGCTTTATTTTAAAGGGAAGGGGGAGGTACCAAAAGTCAACTCACCAACCTTAAGTTACACAGTAGAGAAGAACGTACAGGCCCGCTTGGTCATGCTGTCATTTTCACTGGGAAATCACTGCGGGGTCACCATCTGGGAATGTTCTCCCTGTTTTAGGCGGGAAATACGTATGTGCATTTTTGTAATATCTTGTGGGGTTCTTATAGGGGGCTTGGCTGAGAGAAAACAATGTCTTCACCATCCCTTCCCCAATGGAGTGAATAGCTGACTTTCTGTGGTGCATTCAAAACTCTAACAGTCTGTGTATGGCAGCGAGTGTCATGCTCTGAGTGAAGTGAGGCCGGGGCCCGAGGACGCAGGATGAGGGTGAAAGGCCACTTCATTTGCTAACTAGGAAGGTCAGATCAGGTAGTTGAGCCTTTATGAGGCCTAAGAGTCTCCGAAGGGAATGAGTTAGTCTTCGATAGACTTGACTCTCTGAAGACATATTAACCATCAGATAAGGATCAGTTATTCAGGCAGAAGCACATGGGGCTTTGCCCCTCATCTGGAAGCCCATGAATGTCTACACGTTCAAGTGCATTCCCTTCTCCTGGTGACAGTTTCCTGCCCTACAGGCTGAGGGGCATGGCCTTGCCTCATGGTGGACCCTCTGGCTCCAATATTCCCTGATCTTAGGAAGTGCTAACAAAACCTGTGTGTAGCCATTTTCCCCATTCCCTGGGTCAGGTTCAAGGCCTCTCCACCTCCTTTCAAAATCTGCGCATTTGGGCATCTGCCACTGTTACCTGCGAAGTGTAAATCCACATTGGCCAACTTGCCTTTGCCACTGATATGCTGTTGGTTTTGGGGAAGTTGTATAACCCTTCCCCTAAAACTGGGCTCTGTTAGTAGATATGTCCTTTAGTTAAATTTATTAAGTCTCTTCTCTCTTCCAGACAGGGTGTTAGGTTCTTTACACTTATCCTCACAATTTTGTGAGTAGATCATTTAATACTCACCTTTTATAAATGAGGAAACTGAGGCTCAGAAATGTGAAATGGCCCAAAGTCAGTAAGCTGCCTCTGTCTTATGTTTATTATTCAAAGCGTGGAACTTGGGTTAGACCCCAGGACGTAGGTGGTCAAGATCAGCTGCCCAGATCTACTAAGTGTCTCAGCACAGTTTGAATCCATCCCCAAAGAAGGCGGTTCAGGTGGGAGGGTGTTCTCAGCAGTGTCATCTGCATCCCGCCTTCATAGTGTTAGAGGTGCCATGTTTTCCTCCTTCCTCTCACTTCAGCAGCATTGTCTAGGTGGGAACTCCCAAGCTAACTCTTCATTTTATGGGACTCTTCTTACCTGAACAGGCAGCCGGGTTGGCATCCTTGGCTGTAGGTCCTTCGGAGGAGGTGCGTCCAAGAAGATAGTATTGAATCTCACACCCTGAAGTCCAGCCTGACTTAAAAATTGGGACTGCCCCATAAACACAAGGGAAGTCTGAAAGGCAACCCTGATCTTTCCAGAATTGTACTGAGAGGCCGTCCAGTGGACCATGATTGCTTCAAAACCTGGCTGCCCCAGTCCCCGTTTATTCACAGGAGGGAACTTGAAGTCAATGCTTGCCACTGCTACGTCTTACCTCTGTGGTCTCTTACAAGACGCCACCTTGTAAAAATGGGGAAATAGAGCCCATCTCTCAGTTATTGTGTGGACAAAATGAGATGGTGCATGTAAGTGCCCAGCCCATGGTAGGCTCTGAATGGACAGTGGCTGTTATTAGCATCATTATGATTATTCACATGTGCCCCGCCTGTCTATAGAGTTTTCTGGGTTAGTAAACCCAGGGGATCAAGGTCAGTCAGGATCTACCGGTATAAATGAGTTTTGCCTGCTTTTGTACTTTCTGTAAATGAATTGCCTTTCATTTTTGATGCACTCTCGGTGAAATCATTTCAGAACCTGGATGGCAGCTTTTGAGATTGAAACGGTTGTCTCCCGAATTCTTGCACAAGCCAGGCTTTGTCCTGGTGTTCCCCAATCATTCTAGGTTTTTTTTTGTTTTGTTTTGTTTTTTTCCTTAGGACATAGATCGAGAGGAGATATGTGAGCCTGAAGACCCTTAGGCACCTCCTCGGTGCAATGAGTGAAACAGCACAACCCCCAGCCTGTAGTTTTAGCAGAGCCCCAGCCTCACGTCCTCCCTAAACTTGGCAGTAAAAGCCCTGTTCTTCTATTCATTCCGATGATTTATATTCTCTCTGGGCGTCTAATATTAAACAGGGGAATTCCGACATGTTCCATAACACATTTACTGTAACTTGATACCATGAACTAAACTTGCTGTTATTTATCATTTCCTTTTATTTTCTCTCATTCCAGCATAAAGCCAAGGTAGAAGCAATGACCCTGGACCTTGCTCTGCTCCGGAGCGTGCAGCATTTTGCTCAAGCGTTCAAGGCCAAGAATGTGTGAGTGTTCCAGGGGAGGGTTATAGATCATCATATCTTGCTATTGTAATGTCTTTATCAGATGAACACAATTGGGAGAAGGCAAGGCTGTTGTGTTGTCTTGGCGTCCAAGCAGGAGGCTCATTTATGTTGGCCCTGTTAAGGTACACCGTATTTTCTTGACTCTCATTATGAGATGCGTCATCCATCTAATAGCTGCTTCCCCGATCAAAGAGGAGAGATGCCATTAAGGCACTAGGAACAGTGCTGAATAAAAGTCAGCTGACGGGGAGAGGCAGCCTGAGTATAGACGTTTTTGCAGCCTCAGAATCGAGGAAAAGTATATTTTGATTGCATTCAGGAACAAGGAACCTCGGCTATCTGGTTCAGCAAGGGGGCTGAGAATCAGAGCATGCGAAGAAGTTTCCACTGTTTTGCAGACCTGTGTTGATTTTATGTGCTGCATGAACGTGGCTCCAAAAACATGGACTCCCATCGTGAGAAACTCATCGTTTTCCTTCTTTTTGAGTCTTTCATAAGGCCCAAAGGAGGAAGCCATAGCTAGGGGCTGGCAAATTTTTATGCCATCACATGCTAACCTCCTTTTCTAACAGAGAGAGGGAGCAGGCAGGCCTCAAACCCAGCACTGAGGAAAAGCAATGGTGGTTAGCTCCATTTTAATGACAGGATTTTCTTTCCAAGTGTTTATTTTTACAGTTCCCTCCTATTTTTTAGGGCAAGCAATACCGGTTTCTCATTTAACACAGTGGTTTACATTTCATTAAAGAATAACTTCATCGAATATTTTTTTTCAGTGAGTTGATTTAAACATGAGGATTAAGTTAATAATAGTACAGTTGGTGCCAAGGATAAGATAGTTCCAAAAGTGGCATCACAATGATTGAATTTGGAGAACACTGATGCATGACAACCTGTCTCTGGGTTAGGCTCTGTTAGAACCTTTGGTTTTTATGGCTCTCCAATCAGATGAGGGATGTAAGGAGAAGTATCTTAAACCAAATATTCAGATGGTACCGTGTAGACCCCTCAGTGCTGTCCAGTATCCAATTCTTCTTGTGTCTCCCTTAGCTTCTCAGCTCTTTTAGATGGTGAAGAAGTCAGCTCTTTAAAGCCATTTCTGGAATAAGCAAGTGGCCTGAGCCCTTGAGGTTGAAATACTGAGTCCGAGTCTTTAGTGAGGTTTGCACTGTCTGCTTAATTGCAGGCTGTGTGCTTGTAGGAATAGATATCATCCCCAGCCAGCCAGCAGACCTACTGTGTGTGCTCTTTGCAGTGTTGGGCAGTATTAGCTGCTAGCCCTGGCCAGAGCTATCTGAGAGCCTTATAAGTCAGGGTACAGCAGTAGCTTTTAAGACATTGGTTCACTTACACCTTCACCGTCCATTTACCCTTGTATTCATTAATTTACCCTTGTATTCGTTCACATTTAATGAGTGTCTCTAAAGCCCCAGGCACCATTCTAGGCTCTGGGATGAGAGGGGTGAAGCACAGTTACCCTCAAGGAAGCCATAATCTCAGTTGTCAGCAAGCAGTGTTTTATTGCAAAGGGCTGACTCCTCAAACTAATATTTTTGTGGTTGTTTCGGAGGCAATAATAATACCAGTGACAGTAGCAGCAACAGCAGAGCATTTATTGCGTGCTTATTGTGGGCCACACACTTAAGAACCTTTTGCATGCATTTTCTGATTTAATTCCCAAAGCAACCCGTGGGCGTAGGTGTTTATTATTATCTCTATTATACAGATGAGGGAGGTGAGACTAGAAAGGGTAGGTTAGTTACATGAAGGCACGTGGCTGGGAAGCAGAGGGGCTGATCCTATGTGGTTCGTCACTCCAGGGCCTTACTTTACTGTAAGTAAAGTACGTGCTGTGCTGTCTTTCATTTTAAATGTGATGGAAACTGAGATGAGAGAAAACGAGTGACTTTCACAGGGTCACTGACAGGTTGGTGGCAGATGCAGGATTTTTATCCACTTTTGACTTTTTTGCTCCCTCCCTGATACCATGCTGCTCTAACAGGATCTTAGATGTACTGTCTCTTTCCACTTTCTCCGATCCTGTCAGACCACAGTGGAAGGAAGCAGCTTTGCTGAAGAGAGCCAACTGTTACATAATAGGACTATCTTCCAAGTCTTAGCAGGACCGTTGGTTTTTAACCATTAAGTAGTTCAGAAATCATCAAATTCAACCGACTTTTGTAGTAACCAAGCCCAAACTCTTAGGGAAAGCTATCACCCATTTTGCCCTAATCTTAGATTTTTAGCAAATGGCTTTGAATTTTTGAACTTCTAGGTTAGGAAACAAGGGTGCTTTTCCTTTTCAGCAAACCCTGTACCACAAACTTCTTTATATGTGTCTCTTGAGAGTACAGTTTACAGAACTATTGTGGTGGCAAAAATATGCATAAAAAAAGCGAGTGATTTCAACTTTTGAAATCCTGCCAAAGTGAAATCTCTCCTGGATAGGCAGATGACAGTTTAGTACTTACAGGTCTTTAGATTCTGAGAACTGTCAGAAGTGAATTTAAGTGCTGGTGACTAGGCTGCCAAAAAAAACATGTGTAGCTCTATTCTTATCATCACCTCCCATCTTTAGACATTAAAATTTCCTTGTGTGTAAAACATAATGACAAATGAAAGAAAGCCTGCCAGTTCAGAGCCCGTCTCTTTCTGTGCTAGTGGACCGGGAAGAGGAAAAACCCTTACATTTAAATTCCGTGCGGATGCCGTCCTTTCACATGCCGTTTGCAAGCCCGTCAGTGAGCACACCGGAAGTGTTACCAGGCTCCGTTTGCCTGTGTGCGTTCCCTCGGTGCATGTCCCAGCTCAGGTGTGTTTCCCCACCCTGGGGTAGACGGCATGTTGTGGAGCCTGAGACCGAGCAAGGTAGACCCAGGTTCGAAATGCAAACTGCAGTGGACACGCAGCTCAGTGCGCTAAGGAGCCAGCCACCCTCCCCTCTGCTTTCTACCCAGAGCAGTTGCGGGTTCAGCCTCTCTTGGGATAGCTGCTGCTGCTTTTGGGGGGTGGGAGGGAGGCCATTTCCGAATGAGCACCCCTAATATAGTTATACAGAAGAATAGCTTCTCATCCACTTTGTGTTTATTCTGTTCAAGGCAATGTGCTTCAGCACTTATACACGTAGTCTGTCTCTTAATTTCTTGCAAGGACCATAGGCATTGGTCATTTTTATCGCTATTTTACAAATCGAAAGGCTCCTGGTTTTCACAGAGAGGCTCAATGACTTTCCCAAGGTTAGCAAGTGGTGGAGGATCCAGGATTTGAATCCAAGTTTGTCTGAATTCAAATGACTCTTTTTTTTTTTGTTACACCTCACACTTCAGTCCTATTTTTCAGTATGGATTTCTGTATTGGTGTGTGTTGCTGAGTCCTAAGTTACTTCGAAGTTGAGTGGCTTAACACCATTTAAAACAATAAATATTTCTATTTTCTCTCAGTTTGTTTAAATCAGGATTCAAATAAGGGCAATATATTTTAATCAATAAGTTCTTTTCTTCAAATTTCTTCCTTTTTTTTTAATTAATGCAACATATTTGTTTAAGGGCCTCGGTTCTCCTCTAGTTTTCTGTAGTCTGTGCTTCAGTGACTGCATCCCTGGGGATGTCATTTATCACATTTTATTGTCTCCTATGTTTCCTGTGAAATCGTAGCTAACTCTAGAGGCTTGAACAAATTCCTGTTTACTTTTTTGGCAAGAATAGCTCACAGGTGGTGGTGGTGGTGGTGAAGTCTTCCATCAACAGGACATGCATGCCAGGTCGCTGAAGCTAGTTGTCTTCCGGCTCAGCACACCCTGACCCACCCATTCCTCTGCCCGCACTCTCTTTGTCTGCCTACCCCCGTTTTCATTCATTTATTGTGTTCTTCTCCATGCACTCTTCTGGGTGGTCAACCCAGGAAGCCCCAGCCTGCTTCCAGACGGTTCTCCTAGGATTTAGTGGTGGTGGTGGTCAGCCAGTGTGTCTCAGGTTGAATTATTTTGGGCATTACTGGAAAGTTCCAAACCAAAGCCTGTGGTAAGTCCCAACCAAACTGAGTTTTGAAGGATATTTTTGTTTAAACTGCAGCCCTGAAGAGCAGCCAGGCTCCACGCCGCCTGGCAGGCAGAGGCATCCATCCGAGTATGAAGTGCTGGGACCTTTACTGATCGTTCAAACCAAATGTCAGGGTTTTCTGTGGTGGGCTCTGAAATGATAGCACGTTGTCGGTGGTGCTTTTGCACATTTTCATCCATAGTTTGAGCTGCTTAGTTTAGAGAGAAACACCCATTTTGATTCGGCCTGACACAGTTCAACAGCCTTTATAACTAGGGGCTCCATAAATAATGTTTTCTTTTTCAGATAATGTTTTATAGTTTGAATTCCATATATCCCTGGAATAATGGATTCCTAGATTCCAATCCTGGAATTTTAAAAGTTGTTGATGGCACATAATGTAGGAAATTCATACTTGGATCTCAGTTACCAATCAGCTCTTATAATACTGATCAAGGGCTTTGAGTCATCATGGAAGTTAATTGAAATTGATAGTAACTTCATATTAACATAATACATGCAATTCTGAAGGTTTCTAGAACTTCCTTGTTGATCATGGATTTCTGCTTTCTCTTCTCAACTTTCTGTCTCCAGCATAATTTAAAGAAATTAGGCTTTATTTCGCTTAAAAATAATATAGGACAGTGATGTTTGAAATAAAAGATTAAAAGAACAGCTTTCTATCCCTTCTTTACTTTTTAAACATTTGAGGGGAAAGAAATCTTTAACAAGGTTATTTATTTTCACTTTTTACTAAATTACTTTCAGAACTTGAATCTACTTAATCCCAGATATAATATTCTTGGATTCTTATTCCAAATTTGCAAATCCTTCTATGGAAGTAGGTTATAAATTATAAATAAATTCTAAATTTTGAGGGATAAATTACCCTGAAGTCCAATGTGTAAATTACAGTTTAATCTTTCTTTTTCTTCACTCAATTTT